CACCCCCAAGAGAGAAGATTGAGGTCTCATGTGAAACCCCAAGTCCTCTCCCCGAGTGGGCAGATCTGCCTGCTGAGCCAGCCGCCGCTTGCCCGGAGCGAGGGCTCTGCCCACTTAAGGGAGGAGATGCCATCGATGCTGAATCACCGTGGCCCCGTGCAGAACTGCCCCACTGGTTTTTGTGGGTTTTTTTTTTTTTTTTTTAAATGGCGCTTGGATGAAAGTTTACAGACCAAACTGGTTTTCCGTTCAACAAGCCGTGCCCACCCCGAGGGTATTGTAGACTTTGGTCTCCATAGGAGCCGGGAGGAGATTCACAGGTTATTTTTCTGAGGAGCTGATGTCTGGATTCGAACCGCCAACCTCTCAGTTAGCCCTGGTGGTCACTCCTCGTGACCCTATAGGACACAGCTGAACTGCCCCCATAGGGTTTCCAAGACTGTAAATCTCTATGGAAGCAGAGTGTCCCATCTTTCTCCTGAGGAGCTGGTGGGTTCAGACTGCCAACCTTTTGGTTCGTGGCAGAATGCTTTAACCACTGCGCCACCCACCAGAGCTCCTTTGACACAGAGAGAAGCAAGCACAGATAGTTTTTTTTCCCATTTAAAGAGGGAAACTGAGGCTCAAGGCCGGGGGGGGGTGGGCAGGGGGAAGGGTGGTGAGCGGACCCAGGCCAGGCAGGCAGGAGTCACTTGGGGCCAGAGACGCGGGATCCAGAGGAGAGCCTTTGGTGTGGGCCTCACCCCCGGGCCGGGGTTGGCCAGATGGCAGACAGTGGGTGAATCTTTCACTCCACAGCGGAAAGCTGCAGGAGGATTCACCAGAAAGTGGGGGGCCCACACGGAGAATCTCTTCCTTGGGGGAGAAGGGCATTGTGTACTGGGGCCTGTACTGGACACTGTGGACAGAGCGTGTCCAGGAGGAAGCTGACTGAGCGGAATCTAGAGATTCTTCTAGAAAGATAAAGCGCATAGGAGTGGAATGAGACAGAATGACTGGGGGCGGTGAGAGCATCACTGAAGAGAAAGGTCGGCCCCGGCATCTGAGGAAGAGCCCTGGGCCGTGGGGGAGCAGGTGCAAAGGCCCTGGGGCAGGACCGGGCCTGCAGTGTTGGGGGAGCTGGGTGCGGCTGGAGCCCAGGGGACACGCTGAGGCCTTTGACTCTGATTGAGCCGGAAGCCTCGAGCCTGTCCCTTTCTCGACTTCTTTTGTCCTTAGGCCCCGTGGAGAACTGACTCCCCGAAGACCCGACCCCCCAGCACCCCCAGAAGAGGGGTTGAGCGTAGAAACCTCTGTGGACCACGGAGCCACTGCCACCACCGCAGACGCCGCCTCCGGGGAGGCCCCCGAGGCGGGGCCCTCCCCTCCCCCCACCGTGTGCCAAATGGGAGGCCCCGGGCCTCCGCCCCCCAGCCCCCCAGACGGATCCCCTGAGCCTCCCGACCCCCTCGGTGCCAAATGAGGCAGGACGCCCCTCGTCCCTCCCTGGAGAGCCGCCCTTCTCAGAACTGAGTATCTCTTTGGGGCCTGGAGCCCCGGGGCACAGCGGAGGCCTCTCCTCACCCACTCCGGGTCCCAAACGGGGGCTGCGGGCTTTGGGGACCTGGAACCCCGCCATCTCGCGTCTCCCCTCCCCCTCCCAGCCCGGCCCCTGGAGTGGCCTCGGTCCAAACCTGCGCGTGGCATTTTCACATTATTTAAAAAAGACAAAAACAACTTTTTGGAGGAAGGCGGGGCCTGTGTGTGTTTCCGGCGGGGGCGGGGGCGCTTTCCGGTGAAGCTAGAACCACCCAGACGTTCCATCCTCCCCGCCCAGGGTGACAGGTGGAAGGCGCTCCGAGGGCGGGAGAGCCTGCGGCCAGGCCCTCGCTGCCCTGGGCGGTTCCAGCGCCGGAGCGTGGCTGCAGCTTTGACTTGAAAGAGGCTCCAAGGGCCAGTGAGAGGAGGGGGATGGTCAGCGCCAGACCCCACAAGGGCGTGTGTGGTGGTGACCGGAAGCTGCCCTCCACGCCCCACCCCGCCCCCACACCTCAGCACAGCACTGCCTGCTTCCTGAAGGCCAGCTGCCCCCTCCCTGCCTGGGCGGGCTCTGCCTCAGTTTACCCGTTTCTGCGGATAAACACTCGCCTCTCTGCGCACGCTTCTCCCCCCAGGTTCCTCCTTTCCCTCTCAGGCCCCTCGGAGCCCCTGGGCGATGCATAGTGGCTAAGCGCTGGGCTACTAACCCAGAGATTAACAGCTCAAACCCAACAAGAGGTGCCGCAGAAGTAACGCCTGGCAGTCTGCTGCTCGGTCGCACGGGAGAACACGACGGAGTACAGCTCTCAGCGCGCAAGGGGTCGCCGGGAGTCAGTAGCGACTCCATGGCAACAGCCACCGTCCTAGCGCCCCGTGTCGCCCTGCCCCAGTTCTGTGTCCCCGTCCTTTCTGTCCACCTCCCGGCTGTGTTCTCCCTCCTCTCCCTCCCTGTCAGGGTCTATTTCTGTCTCCGGCTTTGTCCCGTCCGCACTCCTCTCCGGTTACCCTCGTGTGTCTATTAGACCTTCCTGCCCTGTTCTTTGTCGCTGTGTGGTTCTGGGTGTCTCCTGCGCTCTGGCTGTCGCTGCCCCACCTCTTGTCCATTTCCCTGAGTGACTCAGCCTTAGTTCTGTGAACTCGGCCTGGATCAGCCCTGCTACCATGGTCATTTGCATGTAATTCAGGGAGGAGGTTTGCATGAAGGGGGAGCCAGGAGGGGGTCCGGGGCTGGCAGGCTGTGGGCTCCAGTCTTAGGCATTACGTGGATGAGAGCCTTAGGGTCACAAGTTTATGTACCACGGGCGATAGGAGGGAGACAGGATTCGACTTTTGCCTCTTCCCGCTGCTGCCACCTACTGGTGGACCTCGAGCTAGTCCTGTGATGCGCCTGCCTGGGGTGGGTGCCGTCTGGAACCAAGGCAGGGAGGGGTCTGTCTGGACTCTAGGGTCTCAGGGAGGAAGGGGCTGGAGGTCTGGGGGCGTACCAAGGCGAGGAGGGAGCTGAAAGAGGCCTCAGTCCTGGGGGACCAGTCAGGCACGTGGCACAGTTGTGAGGTGACTAGAGTCTGGTTGAAGGAGTTCCAGTGGCTCAGTGCCTGAGGTTTCTGACTGCTAACCAGAAGGTTGGTGGTTCAAGCCCACCACCTGCTCCGCGGAAGGATGATGAGGCAATCTAGTTCCATAAAGGCTCACCGCCTTGGGAGTCTAATGGGAGGCACTATGAGTTGTAATCAACTCGGTGGTAGTGGGTTTGGGCAGCACAAGCCGTCGCGATCAGTTGCCAACCTAAAGGTGGACACTCGGAACTCTCCCAGTGGGCCCGCAGGAGAGAGGTCTGGCAATGTGCTTCCATAAACCACCACCACCAAAAAAGTCACTGCCATCAAGTCAATTCCAACTCACAGTGACCCCTATTGGGCCACCAAGGTGATAAATCTTTACGGAAGCAGATTGCCCCATCTTCCTTCCGCGGAGCTGGTGGATTTCAACTGCCAACCTTCCGGTTTAGTAGTCGAATGCCTTAGGCACTGCACGACCAGAGCGCCTTTCCATTAAGAATACAGCCAAGAACACCCCGTGAGGCAGTGCTTCTCTGGGACATGGGGTTGCTGTGAGTAGGAAGCAACTCAACATCAATAGGGGTGGTTTTTTTGTTTCTTATTTTGGAGCCTGCCTTGACATTACACAGACGTCTTCAGCTCAATTTGACCAAAACGGAATTGTGATCCCCGCCACCACCACCACTGAAAAAGTCCCTCGTCGACCGTCTCAGTGAGTGGCAACCCCACGCACCCACCAGCGCTCAGCTCAGTGTCCTTAAGTTCTTGACCTGGCCCGTGGCAAAAAAAAAAAAAAAAAAAAAAACATTAAATTGTTACTGACTCATAGTGTCCCACAGTGGGATTCCCAGACCACAAATCTTTATAGAAATAGATTACCCCCCCATCTTCCTTTCACAAAGCAGCTGGTGGGTTTGAACTGCTGACCTTCTGGTAAGCAGCTAAGTGCCATATGCACACCACCACCAGAGGCCCTCAGCACGTCCCTCCTTCAGAACGCCTCACAGGAACGCACTTCTCTCCAATCCACGCCCTCTCCCTCCGCACCTGGATAGCCGTAACAGCCTCCCACCTCGCCTGCTCTGTCTACCCTTGAACCCACTGCCATCGAGTTGATTCTGACTCATAGCGACCTGACAGGACCAAGTAGAATCACCTCCAAAGGAACTCTGGTGATGCAGTGGTTAGAACATTAGGCTGTTAACCAAAAGGTCAGCATTCAAACCCACTAGCCACTCTGTGAGAAAAAGCTGTCAGTCGGCTTCTGTAAAGACTGACAGCCTTGGAAACCCTGTGGCACAGCTCAATTCTGTCTTCTATGGGCGCTGTGAGTCAGAATCATTTCCTTGACAGTGGGTTTGGTTTGGCCTTTGCTTCCTTAAATGATCGACAGCCCTGTAAAGATTGACGGCCTAGAAAATCAATGGTGCAGTTCCACTCTATCCTCTAGGGGGACTGTGAGTTGGAACAGACTCCATCTCGGTGGGTTTGGTTTGGGCTTTGCTTCCTTAAATGATGCGCAGCTTTGGCAACCCTAAGGGGCAGTTTGGGAGCCCTTGTAGTACAGGGAGCTCTGGTAGCATAGTGCCTGAGGCACTTGACTGCTAATCAGAAGGCTGGCGGTTCAAATCCACCAGCCACTCCTCAGATGGAAGATGGAGCAATCTACTTCCATAGTGATACGGCCTTGGAAACCCAAGAACTCACTATAGTCGCCAACTTGACAGCACACAACAACGGGGCAGTCTGCCCCTCTAGGGACGCTGCGAGTTGGAGTTCGATGACAGTGAGTTGCGTAGAGATTTCCAATACCTGTCAGCTTAACGGAAGCTGGTTGCCACCTCCCTCCCTGAGGAGTGGGGAGTGGCTGGTGGTTTGAACTGCTGGTTAGCCAAGCACTTACCCACTGTGCCACAAGGGCCCCACTGCTCTACCCCTGCATATTCATGGGGGTACACTCTACAGAAGGACGACTGGGCAATCTACTCCTGTAAAGATCTACCACCTCAGAAACCCAAAAGGAGCCGCTGAGTTTTTCCTTCCTTCCTTAGATTCAGCCTTCCTGACCCTCCCAAGGGGAGGTCCCGTTTATAAGCTCTTAACGTTCCTTAGTTTCCTCTCAAAGCAGTCAGCCCAACTCATGACCCCATCAGCTATCCCAGGCCACCCTCGAGAGAGCCAGTGCTGTGAGTGCAACGGTGGGGATGGCCTGTGCCAGGATCAGGGCTGTCACCCACGGAGCTTGGTGACACAGGCAAGGACACCTAGAACTGCTGCTGTGTCTTGGCGTCAACTCTGGCTCAGAAGACTCGCTGTGACAGGCAACTACCCCCTAAGGGTCCACGCTATAATCTTCATGGGGTCCGGTCGCCAAGTCTTTCTCCCGCAAAGCCACTGGTGAATAACTGCTGACCTCCGGTTAGCAGTGGAACATTTAAATGTCGTGCCACCAGGGCTTCCTGCAAGGAATGCCAGACCCCGCAGGGTGACCTCCAGAGCAAACGGTTAGACCTTGCTTCCGTGTCACACTTTCTCAGCCTCACGCCCTGACAACAGCCAGTCTCTTGATGCCAACTCCACCCACATAACCTCACCTTACTCCACCCCAGCCACTGACTCACAGGCTAGGCCCCAGGTACCCCACCCTTGGACAGCACCACACCGCGTACCAGGTACTACCCCCAGGGAAGGGACAGGAACAAGCGTCTGTGATTAGCCTGCCCCCCAAGAACCTCACCTCTGAAAACCCCAAGAAATGAGGGGATCCACAGGCTGCCAGTGGTTAAATAATTAATAAGATTACCAACAGTGTGTTAATTACAAATTACCAGAGGAACTAAAGGTGGTGCGCTTTCCCAACAGGGGAACCAGGATCTGCAGCCCCAGGGCCCAGGGGTCCGGCCGCCCGGGCGGAGCAGCTCCGAAATAAATAATGTTGTCGGGGGCAGGTCAGGGCTGCTCCTGCTTCTTCTTGACGGAAATGCGCTTTTTCCGCGCCGCCAGCATCTCGTAGAAGGGGTCCACACTCACAGCCGCCCTGCAGGGCAGGGGCAGGGATGCCGGGGTGAGGCCCCAGGAGTCCGGGCCCCTGCCCGCCCCCCAGGCCCCTGGAGCCAGGCTCACTGGATGGACTTGATCCACTCGTCCTTCTCCTCCTGTGTGGGGGCCGAGATACGGTACACCATGTGGTTGCCCTCGACCACCCGACCGTCGGCCTCAGTTTTGCAGGCTTTAATGAGCTGCCCCTTGTTGTTGGGGATATAAAGTTCAAAGCAGTTCTGCAGGGAAGAGAGAGGAGACAGCAGGGAAGAACGGGCCACAGGTCTGAGCCGCCCCGCACCCGGCCGGAAGGGGCAGAGGGGATCTTACGGGTTTCCGGGGATCGTCCACCTCGCGGATGCTCAGGTTCTCCAGGGGGATGATTCCACGGGGCTCCTTGTCCTGCACCAGCAAGTGGGACAGCACTCTGACTCCTTTTCCCCGGGACTCGGGAGTCCCACACGAGCCATCCCTCTTCCTGAAGACCCAGGGAGCCGCCCCGCCTCTGAGGGCCCCGCCCCCAGCCCGCGGGCCCCGCCCCTCACCGTAGTGTACTCAAAGTAGTATAGACAGTTGTCAGTGAGGATGAACCAGCGCCGCTTCCACGTCTTCACCCGGCCCCCTGAAAGGGAAGGGGGAGGGGGCCTGGGCTCAGCACGGGGACTGGACCTCTGGAAGGGCTGGCAGGGGCGTGAGAGGAGAAGGAGAGCGGGAAAGGCGGGCTGGGGGCTCGGGCAAAGCCAGCGCTCGGGGAGACAGCAAGCTGGGGCAGGCGTGGCGGGGCCCTGGAATCCGCCTCCCCGCTCGGGGCGCTTCACCTATTTCTCAGCCTGGCTGTCCACCCAGCCTCCCCCGAGGGCCCGGGCAGGGCCTCCCCGCCCCTTGTCCAGCGTCCGTGTCGGGTCGGCAGGCGAGCGGCAGCGGCATGTACCTACCTCCTGGGGCAGACAGCGAGAAAGCAGGCGGGCCCAGGCGCAGGAGGGGGAGGCAGAAGGAGGGCACCCCAAGAGCCGAAGGGGGACAGAAAGAGGGAGGCGAGGGGAGGAGTGTGCGGGGTGGGCGGGCAGAAACAGTGGAGAGAAAACGCGGGGGAGGGGGGAGGGAAGAGGGGAAAAAAAAACAGTTACATCCACGAGGGGGAACTGCCCAGGCCCTCCCCCTCCCGGGTATATGACCCAGAGGCCCCCACAGCAGCGGCCAGGAACGACCCCGCTTCATATCCAGGATGTGGGGGGTCCTCTGTGACCACAGAGAACCTCTCTCCCCGGAGTGCACCCCCACAAGGGGAGAAGATAAAACTAGTCCTTAGCCAGAGGTGGGCATGAGCACGTCAGCTCAACTCCTGCCCAAGCCGGCTGTGTGACCTCAGGACAACCACTTGCCCTCTCTGGGCCCCAGTCTGAAAAGGAGCAGTTTAGAGACCTCTCTGGGCCCCAGAAGATCTGTTCCTGGGTTCCCTGTGGTCCCAGGATGATTAAACCCCATCACAAGCAATAGTTTCATGAACCACCCCTGGGAGTCGCAGCCGTGACCCGGCCCTTTCCTGGACTTCAGATTTTAAGGGAGGGTGCCTTTCTGTCACAGAGGGGACAGGTGGGCTAGGAGTGGCACTGCCCAGCAACCTGGGCCCAAAGCCACCTCTGTCTGCAGGTGACTGGCATTCTACACTCTGGGCCCCAGTTTAGGAGCCCTGGTGGCACAGTGCTTAAGCGCTATGCTGGTAACCAAAAGGTCAAGAGTTCAAACCCACCAGTTGCTCTAAGTGAGGAAAGGCAGTCTAGTTCGTAATATAGCCTTGCAAATCCTATAGCGACCGTTCCACTCTGCCCTCTGGGGTTGAGAGGAGTTAGAATAGACTTGACGGCAGGGGGTGTGGTTTTCTTTTGGGGGCCTCGGTATCTTCATCTGGAGAGGGGGGAAATTTCCCAAAACAGGAGCTCCTGGGGGCGATGCCCCTAGGCCACCATTTGGCCTCAAGAGGAACCTAACCCCGCCCTCAGGTCCTGCCTGGAGTCAGCCCCACCAGCCCAGCCCCCTTATCTGAGCCTCCCTCCAACACAGCCAGGAGCTATCGAAAGCTTCCAAGAGGGACAGGAGGAGTCAGAATCAACTCACCAGCGACAGGTCTGGTTTCACTAAACCCTAACCGAGGCCCTACCAGTCCTGAGATAAAACGTGAGACGCAGATGAGGCGGGTGGGGGTGGGGGGTCAGGGTGGGGAGGGTGGCTGGGGGATAAGCGGCAGCCTGAGGAGTCCCTTCATGAGGACAGATCCAGCCTGGGTCCTGCCTTTGCTGTTAGTGCAAATCCACAGGGTCCCTGCGTGTTGCAGACAGCTCACATGCTGGCTGGGGGCCCAAAGACTGAAGGTTCGAGCCCACCCAGAGGAACATCAGCAGAAAGGCCTGGTGACAACTTGTGAAAACTCAGCCACTGAAACCCCCCTACTCGGCCACACGGGGTCGCCAGGAGTCAGGGTTGGCTGCATGGACACTCTCGCCCATGTGCATCACACACAAAGATGCACCAAAACACACAAGTGTGTGCAAAGACGGGCAAAGGCTCCGTCAAGCATACACGCTAGAGTTCACGGCACTGGGTCAATGGCGAGTCCCTGGGTTGATGAGGTACTGCAGCTGGGTGAGATGTCACTGCTGGAGAAAGCTGGGTGATGGGAACACAACCCAAAAACACTCAGTGCCTGTCAAGTCCATTTCACCTCATAGAGAACCTGAAGGACGGAGTGGAACTTCCCACAGGGTTTCCCAGGCTGTCAATCTACAGAAGCAAAGCCCAAACCACACCCACTGCCTAGAGTCCATTCTGACCCACAGCGCCCCTAGAGGACAGAGTGGAACTGCCCACAGGGTCTCCAAGGCTGTCAGTCTTCATCCCCACTGTCTCATCTTTGTCCCACTGAGTGCTGGTGGATTCTACCAACCAACCATTTGGTTAGCAGCTGAATGTTTTAACCCTTATGCCACCAGGGCTTCAGATGGGGCCCTAGAATCCCTCTATACTACTTTGCAATTTTTTTGTCTGTCCCTAATTATTTTAAAAAACAAAGTTAAAAAAGAGACAATGAAAAAGCAAACTGGCAACAAATACTCAGAAGAGCAGCCCCTCCTTGAGCCCCCTCAGTGCCCTGGAAGCTTCCCCTGCCCCTCACCACACAAGCGCCTTCCCTGTCCCGCTGACTCCAACTTCTGCTCCAACATCTGGCTTCCGGAAGGAGCCACCCCTGCGTCTCCGTTCTAAAGCCCCAGCCCACCCGTCACGTGGCGCCCACCACTGTCGGGCACGGCTCCAAGCCTGTGGTTCTCCCTGCGGGCTGCACACCGGAGCCCTGGGAGCTTTGAACATGACCGACAGCCTACCTTGCCCCAGAAGCCCTGCGCCTGTGGCCCTAACAACAGCACTGTGACAGCCTGTGGGGGGCTCTCACATGCACACACGACAAGGACACCTACGATCCTAACAGCCAACTCATGATGGGGGTGCTCCAAGGATCCGCGCTAGGCGACTTCGGCGGCTGAAACCACACACTCCATGGTGACGTGGTTGGGGACCCTCACTCAATCCCAGCCACGCTGGGGTATTCCCTCCCTGATTGGAAGCCCTGGTGGAAAGTCGCTCAGGGGACTCTGGGACAGGTCGCAGGTCTTTCTGTTCCTGGGGACGGCTCCGGGAGGAGGCGACACCTAGCACAGCCACCGTGCCACCGGCCTGGTGAAGAAGCCAACAGGCTGTGGGCTGACCTGGGCCTTGCAGAGCACAGTTGGCCCTGCCCTGGACCCTGGGGGTCTTGCCAAAGGAGGTTAATAGGTGCCTAGACGTCTGGCCGCCTTGGGCCGTTTTCTGTAACTGCAGCCGAAGCACCAAGCTCTCCACCCAGATGAGCACTGGGCCACCTAGTCCTCAGTGTCCTCAGTGTCCTCGGTGCCTTGGTGGGGGCCGGACACCGAGGAGGGGCGCACAGAGCTTCCTGGGCGCAGTGAAGGCACCAGGGGCACTTCGTGCGGCCACACCCACCGCAGCGTGCGCCACAGACGCTGCGCTGCCCGGAGTGAAGGTGCGTGGCAGCCCGGCGTCCAGCACGTGCTCACTTCACGCCTGAGTCACGTTTTGGTCATTCTCATAACGTTTCCAACTTTTTCATCGTGCGACAACATCGCACACCTTGTAGACTGCGCTAGAGCATGTTGTAGCTTTTACACGTTCTGGGAAACAAATTCCACATGGCTCTCCTTACTGAGCTGCTCCCGACTGCAGCGGTCTGGAACCAAACCCGCGGCATTTCCGAGGTATGCACTCAGCCCTCCCCAGGCTTCAACTCCTTTTCAGCCCTATTTTTCATATGTGGAAACTGAGATTCAGAGAGGGCGAATCACTGGCCTAAGGTCACACAGGAGGTACATGGGACCACTGAGTCAGGAGCCCAGGCCCAGACTGCTTCTGCAGAACCTGCCGGCAGGGAGTGGGGGACGTACCCAGCTTGAGGAGCCAGCCCTCGCGGTCCGGGTTGAAGAAGGTGTGGGTCAGGTCGTTGCCGTCGTCTTCGGGGATCTTGAAGGGCTCGTTGCGGATGCTATCGTAGAGGTTCTGAGGGGGTGAGGCGCAGGTCAGCTGCTGCAGGCCCAGGGGCCCTCCCAGGGCTCCTGAGGGGTGCTGAGAGCATGGGGGGAGGGCCCACACAGTGGGGACCAGGGCGGGGAAGGCCCGAAGCGTGGAGGGGCCTGGTGAGGCGGCAGGAAGATGCACGCAGAGACGACACGCGTGTTCTCGGAGACAAACACTGTGCAGATGGAGCCCCCAAAGGGTCGGAGGGTCAGAGAGACGGGTGAGGACAGGCCAGGAAAGCGGGCACCAAGCCCTGGGGGAGAGGTCCAAACTGGGAGCCCCAGAGAGGGAGGAGGAAAGAGGAAAACAGAACATGTCCAGGAGCAGGCTCACGTGGCGGGTGGGAGGGACGGGACGGGCAGCCCCAGGAGACCCGTGCAGGGGTCTGAAGCGGGAAGGCGGGGAGAGGGGAGGGCCTGACCCTGAGCAGCTCCTCAGGCAGGTCCCCGCCCTCGTTGATGCCCCGGTTCATGGCCACGAAGCGCTCCAGGCCCGGCTTGTCGCGCACGTTGGGGTTGTGGAGACTAGTGTTCAGCATGATTACGGCAAAGGACAGCACGTAGCACGTGTCTGCACCAGACAGGTCGGGGTGAGGCGCAAGAGGTGGGGCTCCCAGGCCCTGCTCCCCAGGACCCAAGAGTCCTGGTCCCCAGCCTCCAGCCCCACGAGAGCCAGGAACTGAGGCCCTGGTCTCCTCCTCTCCTGACCCAGGGGCCCGGGCCCTACCTGTGGACTGGAAAACCCCAGGGTTGCACAGGCAGTACCGCTGGGCGAAGGCCTCCATCATCCGGTCGATCTTCTGGGCCTCTCCAGGGAGGCGGAAGCTCCACAGGAATTGCCTGGGTCGGGGACGAGCGGGATGTGGATGCAGGGCTAGCAAAACACCCGCTCCCACTCTGTCCCTGTGTTTGGAACTGGCCAATAAATGTTCCACATCTCTCAACTGCAACAGTTTTTGTGGAGATTGACACGTGCTAATCTGACCTATGAGCTGGCCTTGGGACTTTTGACCATATTTAGCCAATAAGCATGGCCCTGAGACTTTTGAACCTGTAAGGAAACGATGGAGCCCTAGTGATGCAGTGGGTAAGTGCTTGCTTGGCTGCTAACCGACACGTGGGTGGTTTGAACCCACCAGCCACTCCATGGGAGAAAGATGTGGCGGTCTCCTACCACAACCTTAGAAACCCTGTGGGGCAGTTCCACTCTGTCCTCTTGGGGCGCTGTGAGTCAGAATCAACTCACTGCAGTGGGCGTGATTTGGCTTTGCTTCTGTAAAGACTGACAGCCTGGGACACCCTGTGGTGCAGTTCCACTCTGTCCTCTAGGGGCGCTGTGAGTCGGAATGGACTCCACCACAGTGGGTTTGCTTCTGTAAAGATCACAGCCTTGGAAACCCTGGGGGGCAGTTCTACTCTGTCCTCCAGGAGTACTGTGAATTAGAACTGATTCAATGATAACAGATTTGAGCTATTTTTAATAGAGCAGCAGCCTTTTCCTTTTTTGGGGAAGGTTGTTAAGGGGATCTGGTGGTTGCCAAGGACTTCTGATATTATTTGGAGCTCTGGTGGCGTAGTGCATAAGGCATGTGACTGCTAACCAGAAGCCTGGTGGTTCAAACCCATCAGCCCCTCCTCGGAAGCAAGATCAGGCAATCTACCTCCATAGTGACATCGCCTCTGAAACCCAAGGAAGGGTTGCTATGAGTCAGATCCAACTCTACCACAGTGAATTAGTGAGCTCTGATACGTGGGCAAAGGGTCCACAGAGAGCAATGCCAATACAGCTGTGTGTACAACCAAGAGACATAAAGAAAGGTGACTTTCTGACTCCATTTGAGCACCTGGATACAGCTAGACCTGAGGGCTGCCCCACCTGTGCACTTCTACGTTACATGAAACAATCCATTCCCTAGTTTTTGTTTCTGTTTTACTTGTTTCTTTGACAGCATTTGTCACTCGCAAACAGGACAACTCTCACAGGCACACTCCTGCCGTCCCAACCCCTCCGCCTCACCTGAGCGCCTGCACCAGGTTGAGGTCGGTGAACTCATGCAGATCCACGAAGGCGTGGAGCACCGCCAGGTTCAGCTCTTCCCTGGGAGGACGGGGCAAAGTCACAGGCAGGAAGGGTGGTGGGGCGGCCGGGCTGGGAGCGGACAGCACACAGAGCACCGAAGAGGCCGTGAAACCCCTCTGGGCCCCCCAACGCTGCGTGTGAAACGTTCAGGCCGGCCCTCGTCCTAGGCCTGGTGCCGGGCCAGGTGCTCAGAACTTGCTCCTTCAGGAGCCCTCACCTTTGTCCAGTTGGAAGAAGTGCAGGAATCGTTCAGTCCATCTACTGTATGGAACCTCTATCAGCTGATGCCCAAGCTCCTCAGATGCCCAGAGACCGTGCCCCACCCTGACATCCAGGCTCACGCACCTCAAATGTCCACATAGTCCCCATGCCCCTCAGACATGCAGACAGCCCCCAGATATCCACAAAGGGTCTCCCACACGCACCTCTGATGTCTAGACCCGTGTACCCCAGACTTCTAGACAGTTCACACGCCCCAGGAGTCCTCAGTCCCACGCACACCCATGTACACGTGGTCCCCATGCTCTTAGATGTTCAGAGACAGTCCCCACACTCCCCACATGGTCCCCAGGTTCCCCAACAGGTTCCAGGCTCCCCTAGACACAGCCTGCGGCTTGGCGCTGGCCCTCCTGTCAGAACTGGGCCGGCAGGCTGTGACAGCTGACTAGGGTCTGCAAGGGAGCTGCAGGGCGGTCCCTGGAGAGCGGGCACGACAGGGCAGGAGATGAGCGAGGAGAGGCGGCGCGCTCTCACCTCTCCCCCAGGTAGTCCCCAATGGCCGTCTTGTTCAGCCCCTCCCCCTTGTACAGGAAGCGGGCGATCTCCTCGGGCGTGTTCTGTAGTAGTTCATTCTCCACCAAGAACTGGATGCCCTGGTAGGTGGGTGCCAGGGCTCAGTGCCAAGGGCCGGGGAGCCATCGCCCTCCACACACACACCGTGCCAGAGCCTCAGCATCCCCGCGGACCCCCACCATCAACAAGGCAGGCCCAGCTTCTGTTCTTGACTCCTCTCAGGCCCTGAAACACCGCCCCTCCCACCTCGTGGCCTTAGCAACTGCTGTTCCCTAAGCCCCTGCCCGGCGAATTCCAGCACCAAGAACACAGCCCAGCCAGCAGGAGGCACTTGACAAGTGTTTGTTGAATGACTGAAGAAACTGCAAATGCTTCAAGCAAGAAGAGTGAAGGAAGACACTCTTAGTAGACCCCAGTGGGTGAAGGCTCAGCTGGGGCTCCCTGGCTCCCCCCAACACCACGAACACCTCCATTCTCACTACCTTTGCTCTGGATTGTGCCAGCTGTGTCTGGGGCTCCCTGAGGGCAGGGCAGGGTCTGACGCCTCACCCAGCATTGCCTACCCCAGGGCCAAACCTGCAGGCAGCCTCAGGAATGGGGTGTTAGATGACTGAGCCAATCTCTTTCCTCCACCTGGTAAGCACAGACTCATCCTTCAAACCTGACCTCAAGGACGCCTCCTCAGGGAAGCCCTCCCTGACCCACAGCCCCACTACCTCTATCAGAGCACCCCTTCCATGCATGTCACTGGCCATGTCCCCAACCAGACCCGAGCCTCTTGTGAGCCTAGGTGACTGATATATGAAATGGGTCCACAAATGTGAGTAGAAATGGAACAAGAACTTCCCAAGCAGAGGCCCTGCAGAAGCAGAGGTCAGGAAAGCTTGGTGGGCGTTCAGAGAACAAACGGGCAACCGACATCTGAATCCAAGGGGTGAGCACCACTTCCGTCTACCTGGAGCAGACCTACGGCCACCACCCTCTGGACCTGGAAGTGTCAGAAGCCTGTGCCAGGACCCCAATCCGTGTGGCCCCAGGTACCTTCTTGGGGTCCATGTTGAACTTCTTCCTACCCATCGCCATCTTCCGGTTCCGCTGCAAGGTCTTACTGCAAGGAGCGGAGGGCAGAGGGTCGATACCGGGGCAGCCCCAGGCGAGCCCCCGCCACCTGCGTCCCCACCGCCGGCGCTCACCTGCCCTCATTGGCCTCCAGCCCCTCGACCTCGCTCATGGCCTCGCTCAGCTCCTCCCGGAGGCGCTGAATCTCCCCTAGCAGCTCCTGCTTCCGCCTCCGGATGTTCTCCAGCTCCATACGCTCCTCCGGAGTCAGGTCTGGGGGTTCTAGGGGCCGGGGGCAAGGACTGGCGGTCAGGCCTGAGGACTCGGGGGAGAATGGCACTCAAACAGGGCCGTGAAGTCTGGGAGGAAGGGGAGGGTCGGGGAAGCCTGCGGAAAGAAAGGGGCTGGAGGACCTAGCATGTTCCTTGCAGGACAGAAGTCCAGGCATGGGGGGGACTTGGGGTTCGGACTCCTGAGTCTGAAGGAGAAGGAGGCTAGGAGTCTCAACTCTTAGGTCTGGGAAGGGAAAGTGGTGGGAGCCTAAACCCGTCAGTCCATTACTTGGGAGGGGGCCGAGGCCTTGATGTGCTGACTCCATTACTGGCGAGGTAGCTGGGGGGCCTGGGCGCCTGCGCGCTGAGTGAAAACGGGGGCTGGGAGTTTGGACTCCTGGGTCCACGAGAAGTAACTAGGGCAGGCAACGCGGTTGACAGCTCGCAAGAGTTGGACCCGGGGGCGGGACACCGAAAGCCCCCACCCCTGCCCGAACAGGACCTCCGGAGCCCCCAAGATTTCTCCCCAGCCCGCAGCCCCCTTCCGGTTCCCGGATGGCACTGGGTTCGCCCGGCCCCTTCGGCGGGGGAGGCTCCGCCCCGGGCTCGCCTCCGCCGCTCCATCCCGCCCCCTCCCACTGCCACCGGAAACAGGCTCTGCCCAAACAATGGCCTGGAACGCCCGGCTCTCGAGCCCCGCCGGAAACCGGGCCGGCGCCCCGCAAAAGCAACGCGTCGACTGGGCCCAATGTCTCTGCGCGGCACGCGCCGGGAAGAGACGTTCGCGGCAGAACGTTCGCGATGAAACGTTCCATCCACTTCCCCGACGGCCCCGCCCCTCCCTGACCTACCATAGACACCGTCCTCCATGGCGGCTAGGAAGGCCCGCGGGGAGTCCGGGGCGGTCCCGCCTGTTGGGCCGGGATCCGTGTTGGCCCGCGGGCTCGGGTGAGCCCGCTCAAACGCCCCGGGAGCCACCGCCGCCTCCTCAGCGCCAGTCCTCAGCGCTGAAAAGACTCTCCCTTCGCCTCCCAACCGCCCCGCCAGTAGGGACCGCCCCTCGTTTTGACACCTTCCAATCCACGGAGGGCTCTGTCGACTGCTCCGCCCTCGAAATCTAAAACGTGTCCTTCAGGGCCAATGGGCGCACAAGGAATAAACGTAGGCCTGTCGGTGCGGAGCTAGACGGTCTGTAGAGCCAATCGGAGTCCGTATAGGGCTCAAAGACCCGCCTCCGGAACAAAGAAAGAGCCTGGCAGGCTAGCCCGCCAATGAGAAGCCTCGGCTAGGAGTTTCTTGGCGTTAAGAACTGTACGAAGGCTGGGAGAACTGCGCCTGCGCAAGACCTCCGGGTGCTAGGAAACTCGTTCATTCGAGCCCCGTCTCTAGTTGCTAGGGGGCGGTATTTTGTGAATCTTGTTGCCAGGGGGCGGAGCCACGACTATTCGCTTTTGCACCAGCCACACCTCCGAGCTGGCCAAGCCGGATTTTGAAAGCAGCGGTTGCCAAGCAACCAGGAGCCATTTTGGTTTACCTTTCTTTTGGCCGGGGACCTCCTCTCGGCCTCTCTCTCCAGAACCTTTTTTTAGTCTCCTCTCAGGGGCGTTTTATCCACCTCAGGCTCTTCAGAGTCAGAGGTGGAATAAAAGACTTACTTTCTTTCGGACAACCCTATGCTACTTGGCATCTGTCCCGTACAATGAGCAATAGAGGACAGCAAAACTTAGTTGGAGCGCTAGCCCCGCCTTCCTGGCAACGTCTCTCTCTCAGGCCCCGCCCCACCTATCCCCTCCTCTTAAGCTCCTCCTTCCCTCAAACTCTTAGGCTCTGTTCCGGTTCGCTTTCTTTCCTCTTCCCAAGCATCCCGCTCTTAAGACAACTCCCTTTTCCTCACGTCCTTCTAAACCAAAACAAAACAAAACAAAACTCACTGCCATTGAGTTGCTTCCGACTCATAGTGACCTCCTTGGGGTTTCCGACGAGGTAAATCTTTGGGGAAGTAGATTGCCCGATCTTCCTTCTCTTGACGCTTATTAATCATTAATGTTTATCCCTCAGAGTTTTTTCTGTCTGCTTCCTCCCTCCTCCCATACTTCTTCCCTTCTCACACTCTTCCCTCCTCTCAAGAATCCTGTCTATACTAGCGACTGGTACACCATCTGATCTGCAGCCTTTGTAACTATGAGACCAGAAGAACTGGATGGTGCCCGGCTACCACTGTCATCCACTTGAAAGGGGATCTATGTAGGAGATCCTTGATAGAGAGGGAGAAGAATGTGGAACAAAACTCAAAATCACTGGAAGAAAAAAAGGGGGTGACCAGGTTTGCTGGTCTGATAGAGCCTGGGGGAACCACTGAGACTATGGCCCCTAGCTGCCCTTCGGGTCTAGAATCGAACCCACACCTGTGGTTTCCAGCCAAACAGAGGACAGGCATATGAGTTGAACATTTACCTCAAGTAGATACAGTCCTTGGAGAGAACAATCATGGGAGAAAGAAGGGCTACTTATGCACAGGGAGACAGCTCAGGGGGCAGGAGTGT